TCACGCATACGTGTATGTATGGATGCGTGCATGCATGTAGAACGTACGTTTGTATGTATGTATGTTTGTTTGTATGCGTGTGAATGTATGTATGTGTACGTCTGTATATGTGTATGTATGTACGTATGTATGTATGTCTGTATGTACGTATGTATGTATGTATGTAAAGGTGTATGTGTGTAGGTGCATGTATGTATGTGTGTATGCTTGTATGCCTGGATGTATGTATGTATGCTGTCTGCGTGTCTCTCGCTCTCTGTCTCTCGCTCTCTCTCTATCTCTCTCTATTTCCTTATCTCTCTGTCTCTCTCTCTATGTTTATAGTTCTCTCTCTCTATGTTTATAGTTCTCTCTCTCTCTCTCTTTCTCTTTTACTGAACTCTCTCTCTCTTTCTCTCTGTATTTAAATGTGTATATGTGTGTATATGAGGGAGCGCGATCCACCGTCGCTGGCCTGAAGATTTTCGCTGAGGGGAGTCAACGGTCAGAACCAGAGGGGCCCCTCCACCACTGAAAAACTCATATCGGGGGATCAGAAACCAGAGGGGCTCCTCTCCCCCCTGAACCCTGGGGACCCTGACCCCCCCCCCCCCTGAGAAAATCAGCGGGAAGAGTCTGGACCCCACCGCCCCCCCCCCCCCCCGTGAAAATCAATGGGTGCGGGGGTCCATAGTACCCTCCCCAACCCCCTCTGGGAAAATCATGGGGGGTTGTCCGGACGCCGCCCCCTCCCCCCGACGACGACGACGACGCCGACAACGACGACGACGACGACGACGACGGCGTCAGCGGCGGCGCACCTGTCGCCAACGTCCGCGCCCGGCGCTGTCACTGCTGGAATGCTACTAGGGCTCGATCTAGCTCTCCCAACATCCTACTAGGGCCCTACTGTTCTCTACGCTACACTACCCTATTCCACTTTACTCGACTTTTCTCTACAATAATCTACTCTACTCTGCCCTACTCTAGTCTACCCTGTTCTACTCTACCCGACCGCACCCTAGCATACTCTACGCTTCTCTACTCGCCTCCACTCCACTCCGCCCTACTCTACTCGACCCTACTCTACCCTAACGTACCCTTACATACTCTACCATACTCTGCTTTGCTCCTACTCTACTCTACTCTACTCAAACTCTATTCTACTCAGCTCTGCTCTACTCTACCCATATGCTCTTCTCTACTCTACTTCACTCTATTCGCCCTAGGCAATCCTATTATACTCTACCCTGGAATACCCTAACACACTCTACTGGTGCCAATTTGTTCTTACTATACTTTGCTATACTCCTTGTCTACTCCGCTCTACTAACCTCTACTCTACTCATATCTACTATGCCCTACTCTACCATACCGTGCACGAACATACTCTACTCTACTCTACTTCACTCCTGCTCAATCTCTACTCCTACTCGACTCCTACTCTACTCTTTTCAGCTCCGCTCTACTGTACAATATTTCGGTTCAACTCTACCCATCTACTCTTCTCTGCACGACTCGATACTACTCTAATATCATATAAACCTCTCTGATCTACTCTACTCTACTTTACCTCCTACTTTACCCCACCGTACCCCACCCTACTCTATTCGACTCTACTCTAGATTCTACTCTACTCTTATTATAATATGCTGGTCGTCGTCGTGGTGGTCGTTGTCGTCGTCGTTCGTCATCATCGTCGTCGGCATCGTCGGCACCGTCGTCGTCGTCGTCGCTGCCGTCGTGGTCACCGTCGTCGTCATCGTCGTCGGCGTCGTCGTCGTCGGCAGTGTCGTCGTCGTCATCGTCGTCGGCGGCGGCTTCGTCAACGTCGTCGACGTCGTCTTCGTAGACGTCGTCGTCGTCGGCGTCGGCGTCGGCGTCGGCGTCGGCGTCGGTGTCGGCGACGGCGTAGGCGTAGGCGCCAGCGTCGGCGTGCGTCGTGCGTCGTGCGCTGTTGGTTGGGGGTCGTGCGTCGTACGTCATCGTCGTCGTCGCCATCGTCGTCGCCGCGGTGGTCGTCGTCGTCGTTAGCGGCGGCGGCGTCGTCTTCGGCGTCAGCGTTGTCGTCGTCGTCATCGTCATCGTCGTCGTCGTCGTCGTGGTCGTCGTCATCGTCGTCTTCGGCGTCGGCGTCGGCGTCGGTTTCGCTGTCGGAGACGGGGACGGCGTAGGCGCCAGCAGCGTCGGCGTGCGTCCTGCGTCGTGCGTTGTTTGTCGGGCGTCGTGCGTCGTACGTCATCGTCGTCGTCGCCATCGTCGTCGTCGCCGCCGTGGTCGTCGTCGTCGTCGGCGGCGGCGGCAGCGGCGTGGTCGGCAGCGTCGGCGTCGTCGTCGTCGTCGCCGTCGCCGTCGCCGGGGGGGGTTGGGATGTGGACCCCCAATGATTTTCGGTGGAGGGGGGAGGGGTCCAGACCACCCCGATAATTTTCCCTGGGGTGTGTGGGGGGGGGTTCTGGACACCCCCCCCACTACTTTTCCTGGGCAGGGGGGGGGTCCAGACCCCCCACTGATTTTCCCGTGGGGGGGTGGGGGAGGTCGGGAACCCCCCCACCCTGGTTTTGGGGGCTGCCAGCAGCGGCAGGAAGCGCTCTTTCCTTTATATGATTCCCCTCTCTATCTCTTTTTGTGTGTTCCTCTCTCTCTCTCTCTCCCTCTCTCCCTCCTACTGCTCCTCCTCCTGCTCCGCGTCCTCTCACTATCCCGTCCTCGTGCGTGTGTGCGTGTATGTGTATGTATATGTGTATGTGTATGTGTGTGTAATTGTATGTGTATGTATGTATGTGTATGTATTTGTGTGTATGTGTATGTGTATGTGTATGTGCATGTGCGCGGGCGGCTTATCAAGGACGGGATCGATCTCTGGAGATGTTGTTCCTGTCTGGTGCAGGCATGTCACATGTCTGAGTCATCGTAGTGGAAGCATGCGCGACCATCTGTCGTCTCATCGGTATGCTGGCGCGGCGTTCATCGTCCAGAAGTGCCCTGGCAGGGTGATCACGGATTGATTGTGATGACTGGCGACATACTAGTTGTCGGATATCCGTTACAGCGCTTACCATAATATTGGGCTCTTGGCACTCTCAGATGCACAAAAAAACAAATGGTGCGCTCCATTCGACAATCATGGACGTACTCCAGATATGATGGCTCCTCATGTGCATCTCGTGTACCCGATTGATACATGCCTGACACATTGCGTACTTTGCCGCATGCTCACCAAGCAAGGACGCCGCAATACATTGCGCTCTTTACTGTCACACGGAAATGCCAGCTGCAAGATCGCATGTGAGCGTATTGCGTCAATCCCCATCTGGATGAACGCACGCAGGCCTGACCTACTGCGTCATGCCAAGAATCCTCATCTATGTAGTGTTCCTCTCTTTCTCTCGCACACAACAGAAATCTGAAATGGCCCAGGCTTGCATCCAGGATGCCGCCAGGGGAGGAGCAGAAGGAAGAAACAGGATGCAGCAATTGACTCTTGGGGTCGCCTGGGTCGGCGAAGTGTGGGAGGAGCATCAGGAAAGAAGGAACGGAATGACCACCCTGGAAACACCAAAGCGCGGCACTGTTGGAAGCAGATGGGAGACGCCGTGCCCACGAGCGTCTCCGAAGGAGGAGGGGGAACGAGCATGATGCGGGGGAATATGAAGAGGTATGCCGAGCAGGGGAAGAATGAGGATGAGGTTGAGTCGCCAGGAGGACGAGGATATTGATTAGCAGGACGAGGAGGCGGAGGATGGTGAGGTAGGGCAAAGAGGATGAGCAGGTGGAGGATGAGCCTGATAGGATGAAGAGGACCACATTCTGATGAAGAGGAGGTGGGCAATGGAGAAAGCTGCTGGTGTCCTGGGGCTCGGTGGGCAAAGGCTGAAGGGGCCCAGGCTCACACACACACACACACACATACACACATGCACACACAAACTGGTAGGCACACATCCCAGGATTTCCAATAGTTTTCCATATGTGTCTGGGAATCGATACTTATTAGTGCCTGCGCCTACGAACCCCTCCTGAACGGCGGAAGATCGAGGGGGAGAAACACAGTACTGCTGCTCGCGCTCGCTGGCCGCACGCTCCCCGCTCGCTCCCTCCCTGCCTTCCCTCCCTGCGTTCCCTCCTTGTGATCATCTCCCCTGCCCTCCTCCTCCCCTCCTCCTCCTCCTCTTCCTCCTCCTCCTCCTCCTCCTCCTCCTCTTCCGCCTCCTCCTCCTCCTCCTCGCCTCCTACTCTTCCTCCTACTCCTTCTCCTCCTCCTCTTCCTCCTCATCCTCCTCCTCCTCCGCCTCCGCCTCCGCCTCCGCCTCCTCCTCCTCCTCCTCTCCTCCTCCTCCTCATCTTCTCCTCCTCCTCCGCCTCCTCCTCTGCCTGCGCCTCCTCCTCCTCATCATTCTTCTCCTCCTCCTCCTCCTCCTCCTCCTCCTCCTCCTCCTCCTCCGCCTCCGCCTCCTCCTCCTCCTGCGCAGAACGCCGAAAGCAGGTGCTCCGTAAGGGCAGGGTGCCTCCTGGGTTGTCCTCCCCCCGCGCTCCCACCCGCCGAGGGGCGACGGAGAAGGGGCAAGGCCAGAGAGGAGGAGGAAAGGGAAGCAGGAAAAGGAGGAGAAGGGAGGCGAAGTGAGAGGAGGACGACGAAACAGAGGCGTAAGAAGAGAAAGCTGAGAGGAAGAGGGGGAGGAGGGGGAGGTGGAGGTGGAGGTGGAGGTGGAGGTGGAGGTGGAGGTGGAGGTGGAGGTGGAGGTGGAGGAGGAGGAGGAGGAGGAGGAGGAGGAGGGGAGGGGAGGAGGGGGGAGGCGGAGGAGGAGGAGGAGGAGGAGGAGGCGAAGTGAGACGAGGAGGGAGGATGATGACTAAAACGATGCGTAAGAAGAGGAAGCTCGCAGGAGGAGGAGTAATCAGGAGTAGGAGGAGGAGGAGGAGGAGGAGGAGGAGGAGGAAGAGGAGGAGGAGGAGGAGGAGGAGGAGGAGGAGGAAGAAGAAGAGGAGACCACGGGGTGGGCCGTGCCCGGCCCCCGCCTTTTCGGCTTCCGCTCTGCCCCCGTCCAGCACGTCTGGCACTCTGGATGCCACCCACACGGGGCTGGAGCAGATGGGGCGGAGGACCCCCCTCCCCACCGAGCCGTGACATCTCGGCCCCCGCCAGCCCAACCCCCCAGGTGGGATAGGCCCCGCGAAACCGGAACGGGAACGGCAAACATCCCTGCCTGAGGGGCGGGGCATGTCGGCCAGAGGGGCCAAGGCCGTGCCCGTGGGGATGGGGATCCTACGTCGCCAAACTTCGCGCATCGCGCCCGGCGGTGCGCGACGCGCGGTTGTCTTCGCGCCCTGCCACCGCGGCCCTGAGGAAGGGCGCTTCTCTGGCCTGGACCGCGACGCGCGGTTATCTTCGCTCCCCTGGAGGTGACCTGGAGGATTGCGCCGCATCGCCGATGCAGTGGGGACGTCGGGATGGGTCAACTCCGACTCCAAATCGCGCCGCATCGCCGATGTATCGGCGATGCGGCGCGGTCACCCGACTCCATCCACTCAGGCTCCTTCTGGGCGGCCTGGACACTCAGAGGTTGAGCGAAAACGTGTACCTGAACCGCATCCACGCGTTCTTCATAGCCTCGGGGTCCTGCAGGCTGCCCAGCTCCTGCAGCAGCTGCAGGTGCAGCAGCAGCTGCGACTGCTGCTGCTGCGCTGCCGCCCTCGCCAGCGCGAGCGGCAGCGTGCCGGGCAGGTCCTCCAACGCCTTCGAGGGCTCCGGGTGGTCGAAGGCGCAGAGCGCCCCGAACTTGCAGCACTGCGTGCGGCGGTAGGCCGCGCACGCCTTCTGGCCTGGCCGCAGGGGGTGGCCCTTCGAGTTGACGTCCGTCTCCGGGTGGTCCCACCTGCAGCCGCGCCCCGCGCGGCAGACTCCCTTTCGCACGAAGCGCCCGCACGGCGGTAGCCCTGGCCGAAGCGGCAGGCGGCGGGCGTTGAGGCCGCGGGAGCGCAACACGTCGCGCTGGGCCCGATCCAGCTCCTCTCGGCGACTCTGAAGAGCGTGGCTTGTAAAGGGTGTGCTTTACGACCCGCCTTCTGGGGAGGGCGGGCGAGGACCTCGACAGAGATCTCCGCCGCGCCCCGGCAAGGGCAAAATCGTGCCCCCTCCCAAGGCCCCATCGACACGGATCGCAAACCACACCCTGGCGTAACCACACCCTTCGCAATCGCCGATCCTCCCTCTCCCGCACCACGGCGTCGGACTCCGCCCCGGCCTGGGCGTCTGCCTCGCCCTGGGTAAGACGAAGCCAGGACGAGGATAACGTCGGTTGAAGACAAATCGAGAATCCTTGAGATCTGGCGGCTCTGGAGGATGTCTCGGGCGCCGCGGCCTTCTCAGAGCGTTCTGGTTCGCTCTGAGAGCGGTCCGAAACGCTCTGGAACGCATTTGTCCTCGCCCTAGCCCCTGGCGTGGGCCGCCGGAACTCTCGACCCCGTCCATTGGTTCGGCTTTTGTCGCGGGTCGTCATTATCCTTCGGCCACAAGAATCCCCCGACCCTGTCGGCGTGTGCGAGGGGCTGTTTCGCTCGACTCGTCGTTCTGGAACGCCCTGGAACGGACTTATCATCGTCCTAGTCCCGTCCATTTGGTTGACCCAAACAGGGGTCCAGCTGGAAAGGTGTTGTGCAATAGATTTGGGGCACTTGTATGTCACACGTGTTGCGCCAGAGGATCGTATTACATTGTATTGCGGCAAATGCATTGCACGCGAAAATCCAACCATACATCTGCGCACCGTAATGCACTGCACGCCCTACATCTTTTGCAACGCCAGAAATCGATTGCACCATTCCCTTTCCGCTGGACCTACTTCCAGGAGAGTCTAGAATCGAATCGACAAGTCGTATCGGCGATCGAAATGAGTCGGATCGGCAGAAATTGGCAGCCAAGTCGGGAGAAGTCGAATCAACAGAAATCGGCAGGCTAGTAGGCCTCCATTGAGGAATCGGCATCCAATCCGCAGTCGAATCGAATCAGAATCGGAGGCCATCGACATCGAATCGAATCGAATCGGAGGAATCGAAACGAGCCCTGTACTTCTGGGCCAACCAAAGTCCGACCTCAGCAAAGGCACCCTCTCGGGGGGCAACGAAACGGGGGGGGATAGCAAAGGGTAGGGCAGAGACTCAGCTCACGTAGCTGATTTTCCCAGCGCCTCCCGGCGCCGGGAGGCGCCCATGTATCGAGGAATGGGCTGGGCCCGGCGGCGGGGCCGAAACCAGTTGCATACAGCAAATTTCGTACCCCCCCTCGCCATCCGCTCGGACGTCCATTCCCTGTCTTTTTGTTCAGTTTCGTGCGTGGTTTTTCGCCAAATGATCAAGGATGCTCCTCGATGGCCCTCGCCGAAGGAAAAATGCACACGTCCGAGCGATGCCAAGCCCCTTCCCCTGTCCCCCCCTCTCGTTCGGCCCGACCCTCGTCGGCCTCCGCCCCCCGCTTGCCGGCCAGCAGGCGCAGCGCCTCCGCGTGCGCCTCGTCGGCCAGCACGGCGGCGCGCCACGGCGGCTCCTCTGCCGCCTCCGCGGCGGCTACCTGCCGAACCTCTCGGGGGGTGTCCGAGGGGAGGGGGGGCGCGCAAATCATGGCCCGAGGCACGTGTGGGGACGAGGGGTCCTCCTCCTCCTCCTCCTCCTCCTCCTCCTCCTCCTCCTCCTCCTCTGGAACCGGGGGACGCATCGATGGGGGGGGCAATCAAGTGGGGGGAGGATGCCCTTCGGACCCAAGAAATCACCTCTTGGGCCCAAAAGGCCCCATTAGGGGCCCGAAAGGGCCCCTTTTCGTCAGCCCTCGCTGCCCCCCCATGTATCACACCCCCATTACCCGACGCCCAAATGTGTGCGGACGAGGGGGGCGGACCGGGGGACGCATCCTCAGGAGAGGCTACATCCAGACGGAGAAAGCCCAGGCGGAGACCGAGCACTCGGTGTGGACTTACTCCGTTTGGACTTACCCCCTGTATTCGGAGAGGCTAAGTCCAGGCGAAGTAAGCCCAGATGGAGACCGAACGCTCCGTATGGATGTCAATTGTATGGACTTAGCGTCCGCCGATATCGAAAGAAGAAGACGGGCCATGAGGAAGCCACGATCTCCCCCCCTAGTCATCACCGCCCCCTTTGGGGAAATCAAAAAGTACTGATACCCCTACTCATCGGACCTTTCCCGGGGTGCGTTCTGACCAGAACCTCGAGGCGAAACCAGCCGTGGCGACGACGGCCTCCCACGAGGGCCTCCCAGGAGGCCCGAAGAGGGGAAAATGAGGGAAGGGTGGCGATGTCAGTGCCTTGTTCTCCTCTGACTCTTGGCCGCCCCCGAACCTTAGATGCTCATTCTGGGGACCTTCCTGGAGCCACTCGCTCCACTCGTGCATCGAAGCTGCGTCGAACCTGCGTCGAACCTGAGTCGAACCTGCGTCGAACCTGCGTTGGACGTGAGTCGAACCTGAGGCGAACCTGAAGCAAACCTGAGTCAACCTGAGCCAAACAGATCCGTTTGGTGGGCCCCAGGAACTAGGGCTCCCAACTTCGCGCTTCGCGCTCCGCGAAGCGCGAATCACTTCGCGCTCTCGCCCCGCCCCCCCGAAGGGAGAAAAGGAGGACGAGGAGGGGGAGAAGGAACGGGGACCGCGACGGGCGAATAACTTCGCGCCCTCGTGGGAGCCCTTGCGTGAGGTGGGCACCGGGAAGGCCCCCCAAAACGAGCACCGAACGGACCTTCTCGCCCAGCGAGCCCGCCAGTGCTCTGCCCCAGGCCTGCGCCTGCGGCGTCACGCTGGGCGCGCCGCCCGGGCCCGCCGCCTCGCACCGCGCGTGCTGCTGCAGGCGCCCCGCCGCGAAGCGCAGGGCCTCGATCTGCCTGTCGATCTCCTCGGTGGACTGTCATCGCGTCCGCTCTCGTTTCGTTCTCTTTCGTTCCGTCCTCTCTCCAAGCTGGGGCGACTCGAAATCGGACGAATCGGGGCGGAAGAAATACGACGAAATGAAACGGACCAAGCGAAATCCCACCGACCCTTTAGGGCGTGAGTGGTTCGGCTAATTTCCTCTTCCAACCGCCCTTCTTTTCTGGGAGGGGTTTGCCACTCCCCCCCTTACCCCTGACCTGGACGGGGGGGGGGGTCGCGGGTCGTTAGAGCGTTCAAATGACCTCGGCGAGAAAGCTTAAAGTATTGATGGTATGAAGGTTTTGATTACGTGTTGGCTTCTTCAAATAATTCATATCCTCAAAGATGGCCCCGAGATGGCCCCCGAGGCTCCCACGGGTGCCCCAAGACGGCCCAAAGAGGTGCCCAGACCCCAAGAGGCCCCCGAGAGGCTCCAAAGATGCTCCCAAGAGGCTCCCAAGAGACGCACAAGAGGCACCCCAGAGGCACCCAGGACGCCCCAAGAGGCCTGTGCGAGAATGCCAACTTCATTTATTGTAGTCAGGTGTTGGCCACATTTGGGTCTCTTGGGGGGCCTGAATTACAAAACCCCCCTCCTTCTTTGGTCGATCTCAGGAGGCCCTAAGAGGTCCCCAAGAGGCCCCCAAGAGACACAAAAAAAAACCAGAGGCACCAAAGACGCCCCAAGAGGTCTCAGCGAGAATGCCAACATCATTTTTTGAGTAAGGTGTTGGCCACATGTCGGTCTCTCGGGGGGCCCACATAAGGAGCCCCCCTCCACTGATCGATCTCCTCAAAGATGGCCCTAGGAGACCCACGAGACTCCAAATGGTGCCCCAAGACGGCCCCAAGAGGTGCCCTAGAGGCTCCAAGCTGCCCCACAAGATGCCCCAAAAATGCTGCCCAGACGGCCCCGAGAGGTGCCCAGGAGGCCCCGAGAGGCCCCCCCAAGAGGCCCCCAAGATGCCCCCAAGAGGCTCCCAAGAGATCCCAGAGAGGTCCCAAGAAGCCCCCAAGAGGCACCCAAGACGCATCAAGAGGCCCCCGGGACTGCCAGGAGACCACCAAGACGCCCCAAGAAGAGACTCCAAGAAGCATCCAAAAGGCCTCTGGCCTTTCTGTTCGACCTCCTCCTCCTCCTCCGCTTCCGCCTGTTCCTCCTCCTCCTTCCTCCTTCCTACTACCCCTCCCCCTCGCGACGGCATACAATTGGTGTAACGCCACACTTCGGCCAACAGAAAGTCTCCTCCTCCTCCTCCTCCTCCTCCTCATCCTGGTCCTCCTCCTTCTATGAATCATCCTCCATCCTCCCCCTCTTGGGAGACGTCGTGCCCAGCCCTTTCTTCCACTGCGTTCTCCTCTACATCCCTGATCAGGGCAACTCGTCTGGGCGTCGTTTCTGGATGGACTGGCGGGGTTACGCGGAGCGTCTAGAATTCGGACGGAGTGAAGCGGAATCGATCTCCTCTCCCCGGCGGCGCAGGGCGCCCATGCTCATCGCGAAGGCGGCACCGCGGTCGTCGCGCCCGCTCTGCTGGAAGAGGGTGAAGACCTTAGAAGAAGCATTATACAGGCGAAGGACCCAACCATATGCAGTTGCGAAAAACGCGTTGTGGGTGCCGCTTTCGGTGAAACTCCCTATGGGGCCACGAGGCGCTGTGCTGGGTGTGGCTGACGCATGCGGGCGGTGACCCTCGCTGGAGTTCCCGATGAGGCCACGAAACGCTGCACTGGGTGGTGGCCGACGCATGCGGGCGGTGCCACTGGGACCCTCGGGGGAGTTCCTTCTGGGGCTACGGGAGGGGGGGGGCGCATGCGGGCGTTGCCACTCCCTACGGGGCCACGAAACGGTGTACTGGGTGGGCGGGGGGGGGGGGGCGCATGCGGGCGGTGTCCCAGGGGCTTGGTGGAGCTCCCAATCAATGTGGCCGCGAAATGCAAGACTGGGTGGTGGACGACGCATGCGGGCGGTGCCACTGGGGTCTTTCTGTGGAGCTCCCTATGGGGCCACGAAGCGCTGCAGTGGGTGTGGCAGACGCATGTGGCCACCCCCACTGGGGCCTTACATGGAGTCCCCTATGGGGCCACGAAGCGCTGTACTGGGTGTGGCGGACGCATGTGGCCCCCCCCAGTGGGACCGCCGGTGGAGCTCCCTATGGGGCCCCGAAGCGCTGTCCTGGGTGTGGCGGGCGCACGTGGCCACTCCCAGTGGGGCCGCAGGTGGAGCTTCCTATAGGGGCCACGAATCGCTGTACTTGGGTGTGGCGGACGCATGTAGCCACCCCCTACTGGTGGAGCTTCCTATAGGGGCCACGAATCGCTGTACTTGGTGTGGCGGACGCATGTGGCCACCACCACTGGGGCCGCAGGTGGGGCTCCCCATGGGGCCATGAAACGCTGTACTGGGTATGGCGGACGCACGTTGCCACCCCCAGTGGGGCCTTACGTGGAGCTCCCTATGGGGCCACGAAGCGCTGTACTGGGTGTGGCGGACGCACGTTGCCACCCCCCCTGGGGCCGCAGGTGGAGCTCCGTATGGGTCGACGAAACGCTGTATTGGGTATGGCGGACGCATGTGGCCACCCACTGGGGCCTTGGGTGGAGCTCCCTATGGGGCCACGAAGCGCTGTACTGGGTGTGGCGGACGCATGTGGCCACCCCCACTGGGGCCGCAGGTGGGGCTCCCTAGGGGGCCACGAAGCGCTGTACTGGGTGTGGCGGACGCATGTGGCCACCCCCACTGGGGCCTGACGTGGAGCTCCGTATGGGGCCACGAAGCGCTGTCCTGGGTGTGGCGGACGCATGTGGCCCCCCCCCCACTGGGGTCTTACGTGCAGCTCTCTACAGGGCCACGAATCGCTGTACTGGGTGTGGCGGGCGCACGTGGCCACTCCCATTGGGTCCGCAGGTGGAGCTCCCTGTGGGGCCACGAATCGCTGTATTGGGTGTGGCGGACGCATGTCGCCACCCCCCACTGGGCCTTGGGTGGAGCTTCCTATAGGGGCCACGAATCGCTGTACTGGGCGTGGCGGACGCATGTGGCCACCCCCACTGGGGTCTTGCGTGGAGTCTCCCATGGGGCCACGAAGCGCTGTGCTTGGTGTGGCGGACGCATGTGGCCACTCCCACTGGGGCCTGACGTCGAGCTCCCTATAGGGCCAATAACCGCTGAACTGGGGGTGGCGGACGCATGTGGCCCCCCAACACTGGGGTCTTGCGTCCCTATGGAGCCACGAAGCGTTGTATTGGGTGTGGCGAACGCATGTTGCCACCCCCACTGGGGCCGTGGGTGGAGCTCCCTATAGGGCCAGGAATCGCTGTACTGGGGGTGGCGGACGCATGTGGCCCCCCCCCCCCCCCACACTGGGGTCTTGCGTGGGGCTCCCTATGGGGCCACGAAGCGCTGTACTGGGTGTGGCGGACGCATGTTGCCACCCCCACTGGGGCCTTGGGAGGAGCTCCCTATGGGGTCACGACGCTGTACTCGGTGTGGCGGACGCATGTGGCCCCCCCCACTGGGGCCTTACGTGCAGCTCCCCATGGGGCCACGAATCGCTGTACTGGGCGTGGCGGCCGCATGTGGCCACCCCCACTGGGGCCTTGGGCGGAGCTCCCTATAGGGCCACGAATCGCTGTACTGGGGATGGCGGACGCATGTGGCCACCCCCACTGGGGCCCTACGTGCATTTCACGATGGGGCCACGAATCGCTGTACTGGGCGTGGCGGACGCATGTGGCCGCTCCCGCTGGGGCCGCAAATGGAGCTCCGTATGGGGCCGCGAAGCGCTGTACTGGGTGTGGCGGACGCATGTGGCCACCCCCACCGGGGCCGCAGGTGGGGTTCCCTATGGGGCCACGAAACGTTGAACTGGGTGTGGCGGACGCATGTGGCCACCCCCATTGGGGCCTTGGGTGGAACTCCCGATGGGGCCACGGAACGCGGTCCTGGGTGTGGCAGGCGCATGTGGCCGCTCCCACTGGGGCCTTGGGTGGAACTCCCTATAGGGCCACGAACCGCTGTACTGGGCGTGGCGGACGCATGTGGCCACCCCCACCGGGGCCGCAGGTGGGGCTCCGGATGGGGCCACGAAGCGCTGCACTGGGTGTGGCGGACGCATGTTGCCACCCTCACTGGGGCCTTGGGTGGAACTCCCTATAGGGCCACGAATCGCTGTACTGGGCGTGGCGGACGCATGTGGCCACCCCCACTGGGGTCTTGCGTGGGGCTCCCTATGGGGCCACCAAGCGCTGTACTGGGTGTGGCGGACGCATGTGGCCACCCCCACTGGGGCCGCAGGTGGAACTCCCAGGCCACGAAACGCTGTCCTGGGCGTGGCGGACGCATGTGGCCACCCCCACTCCTTACGTGGAGCTCCCTATGGAGCCACGAAGCGCTGCGCTGGGTGTGGCGGACGCATGTGGCCACCCCCACTGGGGCCGCAGGTGGAGCTCCGTATGGGGCCACGAAACGCTGCACTGGGTGGGCGAAACGCATGGAGGAGGGAGGAGGGGGGAGGGGAAGAGGGAGGAGGGGAAGGAGGGACGCAGAAACACCGCCTCTTCAAAACGAGGACCCAACACCACACGATGGCCGGGAAACAAACACATAAACAGAAACTTTTGGCGCTCCGCGCGGATTTCTTGGATTCGCGCTGTCCCTCCCTGGCGCGCGGAGCGGGCCAGGGGCGGCGCCAGAGGCGCTGGCGGGGGGGCCCAGCGCGGATCCAAGAAATCCGCGCGGAGCGCCAACAGCTTACGTTCATGTGGCTTTCTCCTTCGAGACCTCGGTCCAGGCCCTGGCCTGGTCCTGCACCTCCTCGTGCGGCAGGGCGGGCGGGCCCTCGGCGCCGCGCTTCCTGCCCCGCGGGGCCTCTGCCGAGGGCGCCGCCATGGCCATGAACGGGTTCGGGCGAAGGGGGAGGGGGGTCTCCTCGTCGCTTCTCCCTCGCTATCTCTCTCTCTCTCTCTCCCACTCCTCTGCTCCTCCTCCGTCCTATCCCCTCCCTTCTTCCTCAACTTCTTCTTCTTCTTCTTCTTCGTTTCCCTCACTCTGTCTCCCCTCCTCTCTCCTGGGGGACCCTCGCTCCGCCGGAGATCGGGGAGGCCGGCGACGAGGACGACGAGGCGGCGCGCGGCCTGCCCCGGGAGCGTGGGCGCCGAGCCCTGGCTCCAGCCCCAAGAGGCTGCGGAGGAGGAGGAGGCGAGGAGCAAACAACCAACCAACCAGACGGAGAGCCCAACAATTGAGCGAACAGAATACCACACACCATGGAACATCAGGGACGACATGCTCCGGATCAGCGGGCAGCCCGACAGGAGCTGCAACGTGCCTTTGCCACGCAGTAGAGCGCCCTCGGGTCGGGCACGCGCCCACCCAGTTCGGGAAGCGAGGGGCGGCACGAGATTCCACCGCGGGATGCCCGTGCACTACAGGCACTGCCGCATGCTCAAGGATGACGCGCTTCGCCCCCTCAGAGTCGGCTGCCGAGTGATGCGGAGCGGTGCCCGAACCGAGCGTGCAGGCGCGTGATAATGGGCGTGGCGAAGCAAGATATGAACATGGCGCGAGCCTTAGTGTGGGCCTTATTTTTTTGGGGGGCCGACTAGAGTTCACAGCATGCCGTCAAACGTGCACTCTAGCAAAAGATGGGGGCTGGCATTAGCCTAGCATGAAGATAATTCAATGATCTTAAATCTATTGCCCGAAGACTGGATTTCAAGTTCCGCTTCTTGGTTCGGTGCTATGCCAAACCCGTTGGCTCCACCCTCGCCGAACTGTGGCTGCGACAAGTTGATCCCCGCATTGAACCACGCCACAAATGATTGTGATACTTTTTCAACGTTCTCGCTCCCCCAAAGGCCATGCAATGTCGCAGTTCTGCCATTCATGACTAGGTCCGCATCTCCCATGCCCTCATAACTGCGAAGGAATGTCACTGCCAGTTTCGGTTCCGGGCCGAACTTTAATGGTACACGCATGATTGCGCGACTGTTCACAGACGGGGTTTCAGAAATCCATCCAGGTTTTCCTGGCCGGTCTTCAAATAGCCGCCAGCCATCGAGGTAGCTTGGCTGAGGTACTTTACTGTGCGGTTTGATGGACTCGAAAGCCGAGAACCAAGACATCGGGTGCCTGCATGACGGAAATAATGCGAGTTCCTCTTCTTTATTGAATGGTGCACTTGGCCAAACATGCGAATCCGTATCTGCATTGGCGCAACTCTTCTCTAACACTTTGTCCCACACGCCTGCGATCACATCTGCCACCAGTTGGTGCCCCATCCAATCTGGATGATTCTTGCCATTCCAGATTCGTGGATCTTCGGGGTGTGCGAGCACCAGCGACCCATAATCAATATGTGGAATATTGTAATGGTTGGCGATGGCGTGCTGGTGCGGCTTCATCCGATGGCATTTTGGACAGCCGGTAAACAACGATACAAGCATTGTCTTGGGGTATTGGTCATGCACTGCGCGGACAAGCCCTTCATACGTTATGGAGACCACCCTTTCTGCTGTCAATGGAGAAGCTGTTGCTGTGCCCCACCTTTTCCCTTCCGAAGCATCATTAACCAAGGTGTCCAATATGACAATGTCAATATTCAAGTCACCGAGACTTTGAAATAACAAACCGATTCCACCTAGAACTACGGAGCTTGTAGTACCACCATGGGCCAAGTTGATTAGGTTAATCTTCGAGCTGGGAAACGCATTTTTCAATATTTTGCGGAGGCGCGCTGACCAAGCGCATTCGAAACCAGAAAGGATTGTTCCATCAGGCAGGCTCTGCTCGCATTCAGTTCCTGAGGTCATCGACCCTCCAATAACAACAATGTTGGCAACGCCGCCGCCAGCGATGTTTTGAAATACGTGCATGGCATTGCTGTACGATCCTTCCACCCGCTGGGCAAGAATGGTCTCCAATTCATCTGGTCGGAACGGGTAAGAATTTCCAAACCCGTCATCAAGACACTTTGTAGCATCGAAATATGGCGGCAACCCTACTCTCGGACACGCTGGAGAGGCGTCAGGGGACCTCTCCAATGGATTGGCCCCGTCAACGTTATCGGCCCAGTTAGCGCCAAGCGTGTACCCCAAAAAGGGCTTCACATAAGGATCATCAAGATCCGTTTTCACGTGTAAGCCGATTGCCAAACCAAACGGCAACAGACGCAACAACGCAGTGCCACACCCCATTCTATCGCTGCGTCTGCGGTAGGAGAGCGTGGCAAGCAAAGGGGTTCGGAAGGAATGTGTGGATGTCAAAGACTTGAGCCTTGAGCCAAAATGGCTACGGACTTAGTGTGGGCCTTCTTTGTTCAAGAACAACTCGAAGCAGCTCTGAGCAACACAAAGTAGTGCAATACATTGTAAAGCATTGTTTGGCAGAGCTTGGCATCGCGTTGCATTGCTTGGCGTTGTTTAAAACCGTTGCTTCGAATCGTTGTCTGACATTGTTGATTCGAGCAATGCCTTGCAGTACGGCATTGTAGCGAGTACGTTGCAACGCACAAGCGAGTATTCAAGGTCACCTAGCTTCGTGCATCGCGCCCCGCGATGCGCGGCTATCTTCGCACCCTCGCACCGCCTTCGTGGGGAAGGGCAACCGCCCTGGCCAGGACCGCGGCGCGCTGAGCGCGATTCTCTTCGCGCCCCGGGTGGTGCCCTAGGTCCGACACAGTGCCTCTGGGCACGGAGTGGGCGTCCTCAAGTCCTTTCCCTAACCCTCCAAGCCTCAGACCTCAATCCTGAGGAGTCTCTTAGGTGCCTGGACCCCAAATTCCGAAATCTCTTTAGGGCTTGTCGCGTCATGTCGCTTAACATTTTTGGAGCCAAGAGGAGGACCCCAAAACGGGCCAAGAGGGCCCAAAGAGGCCCCACAACGGTCCAAGAGGGCCCCCAGTCGCCGAACGATCCCTCCAAGACGCTCAAGATGGCCCCCAGACAGCCCAAGAGATGCAAAAATCATTGATGCACTGTCGGTTGTTGAAAGAATTTGGCGTTCTCGCCTTTTCTGCTTTCCGACGCTCCAAGACAGCCCAAGAGGCCCCCAAGACCACCCCAAGACGCCCCAAGAGGCCTGCAAGAGGGCCCCAAGACGGTCTAAGAACGTCCCAAGACGGCCCGAGAGGCACCCAAGACGGCGAAGAGGGCCCCAAGACGGCCCCAAATGGGGCCCAAGAAGGAACACGAATCGAAAATCTGAGCCTTCCGCCACGAGAGTCTCCCAGGAGACCCCAAGAGGCGCGCAGGAGGCCGCAAGAAGCCCCCAAGAGGCCCCCAAGAGGCCCCAACACAGCCCCCAAGAGACCCCCAAACTGCCTCCAAGAGGCCTCCCACGAGATCCCAGCGACCATCCATTATGCCTCATACACAAAACCCAGGCACGGTGGCGGAACCTGCGGTGAGTTGCAACAGTACGGCGTCTTTCCCGCAATGCAGCGTTGCCCGCATCGGGGAAGGTTGGGTTCGCTGGGTCGCTGCCCGAAGTGTCCGTTAGTGGAGTCCCCGCCAAGAGAGCGTTGACAATGCCAAATCTTGCTGAAAGGAGGAACGACCTCTCAGCACCGGCAGCGGCCGCACGACGCTCTGGACAAAAAGTGAGCGCTCGCCCAGCGGCATCACCATCTCGACGCCAAGCACTGGAAGCCGGCAGCGCCTTCGGCAAGACGAGAGCCCCTGCCGCGATGCGCAACAATATTGCTTGATATTGCTTGACATTGCCTTGCATTGGCTTTGCATTGTTTTGCCTTGCGTTGCGTTGCGTGTCATTGCTCGGCATTGGCTTATTTGTTAGCATTGCTTGGCATTGCTTTGTACTGCGCTGCATTGCTTCGTAATGCTTGACATTTCTTGGCGTTGTTTGGCGTTGTTTGGCATTGCTTGGCAGTGTTTGGCATTGCTTGAGATTTTTGGGCGTTGCTTGACATGGAAAGGCACTGCATGGTGTTGCTTGGCATTGCTTAGCATTCCTTGGCTTTGCTTTGCATTGATTAGCATTGCTTGGCAGTGCTCCGAAGTGCCTGGCATTGCAAAGACTAGGGAACCCAAAAGAACGAGATCATGGAATCACAGCAAGACTGGGGAACCCGAGACAAGAAAGCAGGAACCTGACCAGGGAACCGAGTAAGGACGGGGGAGCCGAAGGAACAAGACCAAATATTCTGAGCAAGACAGCAAGGAAACCAAGACTAGGGAATCGGACGAGGCTGGGGCCCACCTCTGAATCCCACCAGCCCTTTGGGCGTGAGTGGTTTAGGGAGCTCTCTCTGTTCTCAACCCCCTAACCCCCTTATCTTCCCCTTCGGGGAGGGGTTTACCCCTCCCCCTACCCCCTCCCCTGGACCTGGAGAGGGCGGGCCGAGTGGGATCAAGGGGGTCTTTTTCGACTCCTGGGAGGGCCAAAAAACGACGACCCTCACGAGGATTCTGCTCTCGAGGGGGGGAGGTAGTTTGGCCCCTCTGCTCTTCTTTGAAGCCAAAATCATTGATTTTACTACGGTTTTGACCCCATTTTGGCCTTCTGAGGGGGCCGCACTCATCTTCCTTCCTAGCAAAATCATTGATTTTACGAAGGTTTTGGGCTCATTTTGTCCTTCTCAGGGGGCAGCGCTCATTTGCGCTTCTGAGGAGGTCGCAAGAGGCCCCAAGATGGCCCCAAGAGGCCCCCAGGAGGCTCCCAAGAGGCTCCCAAGAGGCCTCCAAGAGGCCCCCAAGAGGCCCCCAAGAGGCCCCCAAGAGGCCCCCAAGAGGCCCCAAGAGGCCCCCAAGAGGCCCCCAAGAGGCCCCCAAGAGGCCCCCAAGAGGCCCCCAAGAGGCCCCCAAGAGGCCCCCAAGAGGCCCCAAGAGGCTCCAAGAGGCCCCCAAGAGGCCCCACGAGGAGCCCGAACGACTCACACCAGGACGAGGGGCCCGAACGACTCACACCACGAAGAGCCCGAACGACTCACACCACAAGGAGGGGCCCGAACGACTCACACCAGGACGAGGCGCCCGAACGACTCACACCACGAGGAGCCCGAACGACTCACACCACGACGCGGGCCCCGAACGACTCACACCACGAGGAGCCCGAACGAGTCACACCAGGAGGAGGGGCCCGAACGACTCACACCAGGATGAGGGGCCCGAACAACTCACACCACGAGAAGCCCGAACGACTCACACCAGGACGAAGAGCCCGAA